GTACCGGTGACTTGCAATGAGGAGCAAATCTCACACTGTAAATATTGTTAAGAGAATGCTTAATAGTGTTTCTAATCCGGTAAAAGAAAAAGAGCATGCACATCAGTTTTTAGGATAACTTTGAGATCTGCAGCAACGAAAAAGAAGCAGATAAAGAGTACATCATGATAAAGGGTACATTATATAGGTCCTTTTGCTTACGAACTAAAAATGACATTAGTTTGACAAAGAGTTAAATTTCGTTCATATGAAAAGGACATGGCAGTAGCAGCAACAATACATTGAAGCAGCAGCAACTTGACGCTCAACAGCAGGAACAAATGCTTTACTTCAACAACATCATCAACAACAACTTTAGAGGACACAACCAATAACGCTTCCAATGAACCCACTCTCCCATTTGAAAGCTACTATGGGCCAGAACTCAAACACTATGCACTTGGCTGGTCGATTGGTTAACAAACAACATCAGGGCCAACTTTAGGTGCAAGAGCAACAGATGAAGTAGAGGAAAATTATGATGGAGCTGGAAGGGAAAATGAGAATGGAAACAACATGGCGGTGCAAATAAAACATACAAAATGAGAACAATCAAAGCATGGTTTGTATGAGTAGCTAAAGTGGATACATGACAGTACAAAGAGAAGCACAACGACATTGCAAAGGGAAGGTAGAGAAACAAAAAAGGGTAGGCATGTAACTGCCATTGACTTTGCGGGGTAAGAAATCTGAAATAGATAGTAGGGTTTAGGGATCCAGAAAGGGGGGAGGTCATATATAGGTAAAAGATAGAGCAGAATACAAAACCAATATACAGACTGAGCCGATTGTAAGTAGAATGCAAGAGGTCGGGAACAGGAACTGGCAAGCTGATCCCACAACTGAGAAGCCTGACTTGTTCCATTTCTTGCTTCCATGTCCCATCCCATACCCGCTGCAAATAATAATAATAAAAACGTATGAGATATAGGTCAGATTTCCATGCTCAATCATAACAAATCAGGGTAAGTTAATAGTATCAATCAGTAGCAGGAAGTTAAACGAAAATTATCAATTCAATCTACAAATTTGATAACATTTCCCTTTAAAATTAAGCATTCAGTGAGATTACCATCCAAGTGACCAAGCCATGTAAAATCCAACAACAGAATCTATTCAATAGACAATTCTCAAAAGGAAAAAAAGGGATTTAAATGAGGAAGTATCCACCAAAATTAGAGTATGAGGTCTAAACTCGAGACTAACTCTAGAACATTTCGATCTCATACACTCAAATACCATCAGCTGTAAGAAAGCAGCCTGCCTGGAAAGGCCAAATATCCCCTACGCTATCATCTTTAAAAGTTAAAACAACAAGAAAACTGACACTGGGCAAAGCATATGTTCAGCAAACACATATTTAAATTGGGATCCATGACAGAATCACAATACCATCATCCAAAAAAATGTCAAAAGAAGGGGGGGGAACTAATTAGTATTGGTGTAGTTAGTTTTCATTCATTTAGGAAGAACAAAAGCAGAAGCAGTGATGGGAGGGAGAAGTACCAGAATTTCGAAGCTCAAGCGAGTAGCCAAGTGAATATTAATGATTGGTTGCGGCTCCTTCTCCTCTACCAATTCTTCCGCTTCATCTCTTCCTCCTTCTAGCATTCGTTCTCCCTCTCTTACTATAATTTACTGAGTCCTGATCTTTCTTGTTCTGCTGCTAAGCTGCTGAAGCACTAACCAAGGTCTGATCTTTCTTCTTCTGCTGCTAAGCTGCTGCAGCACTAACCAAGTCTTATTTCTCCTTAATACATTAAAATAAACAGAACTCCAAACGAAAAAACTGTCAAAAAAATCGCAAACCACTAAAGCACTAACCTACAACAACACCAAAGAGAGGTCGAGTGTGTAAGTAGTGCATGAAAGGAAAAGAAAAAAGATGAAAGGGTGATCAAGTTGGATGGAGGAGCGATCGGACGGCGGACCGCGCGCTAGCAGAGCGATCCGCGCCATGGATCAGGGACCGCACCTGCAAGGAGCGGTCAGCGCCTCGTAACTCGCAAACCGCATCGGAAGGGAGCGATTTCTGGAATGTTATTGTAGTAGGGGACAGGTACACGGTCACGAGCCACCTCGTCATCATTAGCTAAGTCTGACTCTGGTCCTGAATCATCAGCACCTTCAAGAGGGTCGGAGCTGTCTGCACTGACGTTGTTCTCTCCTTCTTCATCGGAGGGGTCACTAACTAGTGCTCGCAGGGCATCTTCCATCTGATCCAGCTCATGAAAGGCACCTTCATCAGCTCCATAATGGTAGTTGTGAAAACTACCGCTGCCTGATTGGAAGTTGTACTGAGGTTGTTGGGGAGGTCCCATTGAACTTCTTCTTCATATGACGGGAAAGATTGATGATGACCTTCACCTTGCTCTTGGTACTGAAAATAGGAATGAGGATCATGGTAACTTTGGTAGGGATGATCGCCATATAATTCACCTCCACCATGGATACCAGATGTTTGACCGTGTCCAGAATGACCTCCAACGCCTACGACCGACTCGGTGTGAACGAACATCTCGGCTTTGGAAAGATTGTTGGACCTCAAGAATTCGAGTATGGAATCCACTTCATCCTGAGTGGTTATGAGATATTCCTCATGCCACAATGACCCACTTTCTCTGTTTGGATATCGGTACACCATACGATCAACTAGACCTGGCAATCAGGTCGGGTTGGGTAATTTCGGGTTGGGAATCTCGGGTTCCGGGTCTTCACGGGTCGGGTCAAGATGTTGCTGATTGCGGGTCAAATATTGACCCAATCCATCGGTTCCGGGTCAGGTTTCGGGTCATGAGCGTTCTCAGAAACAATATCAAACATGGTTCATAAATTTTTAAAGAACACAAATTTTTACGTATGTGCGACAATAGATTGCCTAGCACATGTCAATTAACAAATGCTGAACTATTTCCATGCTAATGAAAAAATACAAATTGCACAAATTGTCAAAAAACAATGACGAAAGTAATGCTACTACAATAAACAAATGATGTTTGATTATCTTAACACTCCAAACTTGTCTTGCAAATCCTAATAAATTTTTTTAAACATCTCACCAAAGTATGAGTGATTTTATCATTTTGAGAGTGACATATGCAATGAAACGAGTCTAGCGGGTCGACCCAGAAACCAACCCAACCCGACCCAAAAACTACGGGTTAATCAGGTTCGGGTCATTCGGGTTATAAAAACCTCAACCCATTCTCCATTTTTCGGGCGGGTTTGGGTCGGGTCAACGGGTCTGGTCCTCATTTGCCAGGTCTACGATCAACTCTTCTCGTGCCATCCATGCAAGTAACGTTAGTGCACTTTTGATGGAGGTCTTCAAGCAGCGGTCTGGTAGCGACCTTTATCTTCTGAAAATTACCACCGACGTAGGTGACCCCCTTTCCGGTCTCTTCCGTGTAACCATTCCACCGTAAGCCAAGCGTGAACTTTTGGAATGCCATATGCAAAAAAACCGTAGTTCAGTTAATATCATAAAAATAACAAATCAAAATAACAATAAAAAGTAATACAAAATAAACTTACGAGTTAACGTTAATCGCAAAACCACTAAAGAAATATAGAGATATAACAGAAAATTGAAAAGGGAGAAAGAAAGAGAGGTGTGAAGAGAAGAGGTTTTCCGGGAAGTCTTTTATAGGCAAAATCACTGATGAAAACCGCACCTTAGAGGTGCGGTTTTCGTCTGCCATGCAGACCCACGTCTGTTATTCTGCATGGCATGTGGGAAAATAATTAACCAAAATCGCACCTCAACCACGCGGTTTTTGTAGGTCAGACCTGAAACCGCATCTCCAAGAAGGTGCTATTAGTGTAAATTTTTTCGGTTGGGTGCTATTTTTGTAATTTTTTTTGTAGAGGTGCTATTTCTGAAAAATCCCTCCAGCAAATCTACATGTGGAAGAAGACCTAGAAATTTAACAGGTTCTTCTTGCTTTGCGACTTCCTATTTCAGCTCTGCAAATTCTTCCATGGATTTCTCCTCCTTCGCTTTTTTCTTTGTTTGTTATTCTCTAGTTTGAAATCTTCACCTTCCACCTGGTGAAAATGGAAGGTAAAGTTATTCCCAAAACCCTGAATATCCAAAAATAATTCATGTTTTGAAAATTTCTTCCTAATAAAAGTTGTAGTGTTTGAAATGTTATGTAGAATAAAAAAAATACTTGATGTTCGGATTCCGAAGCACAAAGTTATGGATGGTCAAAGTTTGGAAAAATTGAAAAAAGCCGGTTCGGGGTAGCAAACGGCATTTTTTCGGGATGAAGGGGGGACCAAATCGCTTGCAGCTATTTGCAGCTTGCAAGATCTCGAAAAGTTATGGGGAATCAAAAAAAATTCGCTACAATCGGATACCCGAACACAAAGATACGTTAGTTTGAAGTTTCCACCTAGGTTAGGAATAATCGAAAAATAAATAAAAAAACAGGACCAAACCGTTGGGTGGGACAACGGTTTTGGACCAAACCGCCCCTACCTGGTGCGGTCAATAAATCCGCCCCTACCCAAGCGGTTTTTGAGTAAACCGCAGGGTGGGATGACGGTTTTCGAGAGAGGGTGGTATTTTTGAACATTTTTGAGGTTGGGTGCTATTTTTGAAAAAAAAATAAACAGTGGGGTTAATTGCATGGTTGGTCACTAAGATTACAAAAAACGTTCAAGTTTGGTCACTCGAAATATTTAAATCCTTTGGTGGTACTTCAGTTTATTGAAACTGTTCACGTTTGGTCACTCTCCGTCCAACTCCGTTAACTTTTGCTTACGTGGTGGTCAACTCAAAAAGTAGACCGTTAAATGTGTGACGTGGCAATTTAAAAAAATAAAATAATAAACTAAATTTTTTAAAATTATCATCTCATTTCCACCTCATTATCACTTTTATTTAAAATAAATAAAAAATATAATTTTTTCTAATCCCCAATACCAATACTCAGCGGGCAGCATACCCCGCTGTAGTGGCCGCTTCCGGAGAACAGCGACCAATGGCTGAATTCTTATTTCTGTATTTGCTCCGCCGCCAGATGAGGCGGCCTGAGTAGCCAGCGGCAGAGGGAAGACTGGAGGCAGTGTGAGGAATGAAATCCGGTGGAAGAAGCGAGGCGTCGCTGGAGTAAAAGAAGGAGGAGGGGTTGGGAGAGGAAGAGGAGAGTCAAAAAAATTGGCATACAGAACTACCGAAAAGTACATGTGGTTGAAAAACAGAAGGGTATGTAAAGGTGGGATGGGAGATTGCGAGGTCGGCGGGTGGATGGTGCTGGCTCTTGTCCATGGAAATTGCTCTATTTTACCCAATTCCAGTTCATCACCATGGCTCTGCTGCTGCCCTTACTGCTGTTTCGATGCCCCGCTGACCAAAGTCCGTCCCGTGAAGAAAGTCGCCCTCGCCGTCGTCACCGGAGACAGAGGGCTCTGCGGCGGGTTCAACAATCAGATTCTTAAAAAGGCGGAGAATCGGATGAAGGAACTGAAGGCTCTGGGGATAGAGTTCACCCTGATCAGCGTGGGGAAAAAGGGGAACACTTACTTCACCCGCCGTCCGTACATCCTTGTAGATCGATTTCTGGAAGGGACGAATTTGTCGACGGCTAAGGAAGCTCAGGCGATCGCCGATGATGTTTTCTCTCTCTTCGTGAGCGAAGAAGTCGATAAGGTCGAGCTTCTCTACACCAAATTCGTGGTGAAATTGGACCCCGTGATTCACACTCTGATCCGCCTGTCCCCCAAGGGAGAGATCTGCGACATCAACGGAATCTGCGTCGATGCCGCGGAGGATGAGTTCTTCCGGCTGACAACCAAAGAAGGGAAATTGACGGCGGAGCAAATACAGAAATCAGAATTCAGCCATTGGTCGCTGTTCTCCGGAAGCGGCCGCTACAGCGGGGTATGCTGCCCGCTGAGTATTGGTATTGGGGATTAGAAAAAATTATGTTTTTTTATTTATTTTAAATAAAAGTGATAATGAGGTAGAAATGAGATGATAATTTTATTATATTTAAATTGTCACGTCACACATTTAACGGTCTACTTTTTGAGTTGACCGCCACGTAAGCAAAAGTTAACGGAGTTGGACGGAGAGTGACCAAACGTGAACGGTTTCAATAAACTGAAGTACCACCAATGGATTTAAATATTTCGAGTGACCAAACTTGAACGTTTTTTGTAATCTCAGTGACCAACCATGCAATTAACCCTTAAACAGTGGCATTTCTAGAAAAAGTCCCAAAGTTAACTACGGCTACTAATTCTTACAAAGTATACATCATTTTCAATGTAATACTTGCATGATGTACTTACATCAACTAAACAATAGTTAGATTCTACAAAATGCATATGTACTCAGGGGCGGAGCTACACTCAAGGTAGGGTGGGCCCCGGCCCTCAGGATTGGTCCCGGTCCCTAGGCTGGTAAGGATATTTAGTACGAATTTTATAAGAAAAATTTGTTTTGTAAATTCTATTGTGTAATAGTCGTGTGATATAATGATAGCCAAACTTGACTTGTATTTTAAAACACATGAGTTCGATCCACCTTAACTACATACATTTTGTTTAATTATTTTCGACCCGTCTTGAAATCCTAGCTCCACCCATATATGTACTCAAAATACAACGTTTAACATTGCAGGTTCCAAACAAAGTTTTAAATTTTACTCTTCCCAGCGTGGACCACGGGCTGTTAACTAGTTGTCATTAATTCTCCATCAACCTCGTTGACCTTCTCCTCTCCAAAAACCGCTCACCGCTGTCCTTCTCCTCGCCGTCTAACTGGTAGGTGCAGAGCCAGTATTCTGACTCGTGCAAGGGCTTATGAGAAGGCTCCCAACGAGCAGGATCAGTAGATGGAGGATTTTCATAGATAGCGATTGTAGGAGCAGGCTCGATGGGCCTCGTTCTTGTATAATCGTCGAGGGATTCTAAAAGAAGTGGTGGCTGTTAATGGTTGCCGAGATAAGTGGTGGCTGTTAAAGGAAGTAACCGAAATTCATATTGGATCTGTACAGCCTGATTATTTTTCCAAATCTCAATTAGTTGCTTTGAGTTCACTTTGGGTAATTCGTTGCTTAATTTTGGTATCATTTCAATTGTTGAATGGATATTGTTTGTTCTAGCAAAAGAGTATTAACATTAAGTAATTTTAATTTTTATGTTAGGACATTATAGTATAAGTTAGGGCGACAATTAGCAATCATCATAAAAAAAGGCTAGTCAAGGAATTCGAAATGCTGACCTCATTTAACTACAATGGAGGAAATGGCGGAAAATCCCTTTCATTATATTTAGAAAACTCGTATTTCTTGTTTCCCCAAAACTATATATAAGTCGTTAAATAGTTTTTTCAAATGAAAATGGAATCATTAGTGAACACGTTTTTTTCATTTATGTTTCCTGATTTATGTTGCGACAATGAAAAACAAAAAACGAGATAACAAGCGAACGGAGCAATAAGGAATTCTCAGAGACAATGATATTGTTTGCGACGTCCAATGGGTAAGTGGCTGACCAAGTATTGTCGAAGATGGGTGTCCGATAAAAATAAATAAAAATAAAAATTATTTAGAAATTACTAGAAATTCATTCATAAGTTCACTACGAAGCATGCAAATTTTTCATATCATAATTTTTTTTTCGAAATACATTCATCGCTTATGATGCAAATCAAACATTTTTCGATGACACAACTACATAATCATTCATAAATTAGTCACTCAATCAAAGAGAATCGACCCACATCTAAAATCAAAGTTAAAATTTATTAGTTTAGAATTAAATGTAGTAAACCACAATCTACCAATTGGCAATTTTAGACAAAACAAGGTATGCGTAAAGTTATGTCATTAGCATTTTTCTCTAGTTCTACCAAATTAACGAAAATCAAACCACAATCTATCATAAATCTACCCAATTCACCTATTAACTACAAATTGACTAGTTAAATTAGGGGGAAATTGGGTTCTGGGTTACTTTAAAACAAGCATGTTTATTTGATTTTACTTATTATTGTGAATTACTAATTATGATGAATAAATTTATAATAATAAATTTATTATCGTATGATAAAGGTGTGTCGATTATAATTAATAGAGCGGTGTCGAAAGTCACAATTTAAAATTTTTAGTACCGTAAAATAGTGGTCTTTCACAAAATTTTCAAGTGAATGGGTGTCGGACGACACCCCTTCCCTAGCCGTAGGTCCGCCTAGTGATGGCAATGGGGGGCGGGGGCGGGGCGGCTATTTCAATAACCATGCCTCGCCCCACGTTACCGCTGGTCGGGTCGAGTAATACTCGCGCGGGTAAGAGGTGGGGAAGGTCGACCGACTCTTACATGTTATTTGGAAAAAATCACGCAAAAATTTACTTTTTACTATAAAGCGAAGGGGAAAACAGTTTATGAATGAAAAATAGTTATAATATAATGGGTAATTGAGTCCATCTACCTAGTTGAAAGAAGTTGAACTTGTCTAACTAGTCGACGAAAAGTCAAAATAGGAGAAACATGAATAGATACTATGAGAAATTGAGATAAAATGAGCCAAGAACAAGGCAAAGCAGGGCATGTCGGAAGTAAATACCCATGCCCCGCCCCACGCTACTGCTGGTCGAGTAATACCCACCACATCACGTATCTGGTCGGATAATGCCTGCGAGCGGGTTCAAATTGCAGTCCGCCCCTAAACAGGTTGAAGTTAATTACACAACTTAGACATGATCCTTAATGTAAATGATTTTGATTTGACAGTTGAAGGATTGAAATTTGAAAGATATTTTATTGAAAAAGGCTGGCTCCTTCATCTCAATCAAATTTCTAGTTGGTAGGGTAGGGTTACAAATTTACACCACTCGCTCCCGATTTGAATCCCCAACCACCCGAACCTCAACCCGAACCCGAACCCGTTAGAGATCAGAAAACGACCAAATGAGTGGGTCCCGGTTTTGCATACTGCTGGGCCCCAGCTTCCTACTCATCAGGAGGAAGATGAAGGCAGAAGAGCAGAGCAGATCTAGAAAGGCAGAGAGATGAGATGAGGGACAAACTGGAATAATAATAATTTGAATCCTTTTTGAACTCTATTTGAAAGCTCCGCTTAACAAGTTCTAGGTTTGGAGAATTGGCAAACCCTCAAAATGAAGGGTTGCTCTGCATTTGCTATATATAGCTTAGTGTTCTGTTAATCAGAAACACTCCAACGTTAGCCACATGGCAGAATGTCATTGGCAATTACAAACTCAAATTACTGTTTAACAACGGCTAATAGCCAAAGCGGAACGACAACGTTTAATTTAAATGCAGCAATATAAACGAAACTCTCAGCTTGAAAAGTCTCTCATTCTTCTCCTTCGATTGAATCCAGAGCACACCAGGACTTCTTCTTCTTCCTGCATCTGCAACTTCATCTTCTCTACTTAGTTGACACCCCCCTTCAAGTTGTTGCTTCAGTCAAGACGCCCAACTTGCCAAGCAATTCCTGGACGCGAACCCTGTGTAGACTTTTGGTGAAGATATTAGCCAATTGATTGGCTGTACTGACATGTTACAGATGCACCAAACCATCATTGATTCTCTCCCTGGTAACATGCATATCTATCTCGATATGCTTTGTCCTTTCATGGAACACCGGATTTTCAGCAATATGGATTGCAGACTTGTTGTCACAATAAATAGTCACAGGCAATGGTATTTTCACACTTAACTCAAACAACAATGTCCTCAGCCATTCAATTTCAAAAACCAGTAGAGCAAGTGCTCTGTATTCATGCAGCCTCTAATGAAGATCTAGAGACTGTGGTTTGCTTCTTAGACTTCCATGTGAGAATGACCTTCCAATGAAAGTGTAGTAGCCTGTGGTTGACCTTCTGGTGTCAGAGCAACTTGCCCAGTCAGAGTCACAGAAAGCCTGTTAGTTTCAATTATGCTTGGCTGCTGAAATAAATCCCTTGTCCTGGTGATGTCTTGAGGTATCTGAGTACCCTGTGAGCTGCCTGCAAGTGATCACTATAAGGATCTTTTTGGAATTGGCACAGTTGTTGTACTGAGAATGTAAGATCAGGCCTAGTAATAGTCTTGTAGTGTAATCTCCCTACTAGCCTTCTATACATCTCAGGGTCTTCCATTCTACTTCTTTGTCCAGCTGCAAGCTTCACCTTAGGATGAGAAGGAGATAAACAACCCTTAGCTTCCAAAAACCCAGTATCATTCAACAGCTCCATGCAATACTTCCTCTGACATACTGCCAACCCTTCTGCAGTTCTTGTCACCTCGAGTCCAAGGAAATACTTCAAGGAGCCAAGAAATTTCACTTTGAACTCTCCACACAATGATCTTTTAATTTGATCAATGTCCTTCTGTGCATCTCCTCCAACTATAATGTCATCCACATAGACTAAGACTATCACAATTCTGTCATTAGCCCACTTGGTGAACAATGAGTAATCAGATTTTGACTGTGAAAATCCATTCTTCAACAAGAAGCCTGTTAACTTTGAAAACCACTGTCTTGAGGCTTGTTTTAGGCCATACAATGACTTCTTCAGTTTGCAAGCCATTCTTGTGTTGCTGGATCCTGGTATTTCAACTCCCAGAGGTATCTCCATGTATACTTCTTCAGTTAAATCCCCATGTAGGAAAGCATTGGAAACATCCAATTGCTCAAGAGACCAATTCTTCACTGCTGCTATTGCTAATAGAGCTTTCACAGAGTTTATCTTTGCAACAGGTGAATATGTGTCTAGGAAGTCTATTCCATACACCTGTGTGAAGCCCTTAGCAACTAGCATGGCCTTGTACCTTTCTATAGTCCCATCAAACCTCTCAGAAATTGAGTCAGATAATCCTCTTCTTGCCTTTCTGTGTAGGCTACCACTGCATCACAAGGATTTGGGTTTCCTGGAGCACAGTTGCAAGTACTAAAGGGCTAAACTGCAAGTACTCTTCCCATAATCCTTTAATTTCTATGTAGTACTGATT